TTTGATTAAAATATAACAAATTTATATTTACGATCTGATTCGGTGAAATCAACAAGTTAACTTATATTGCAGATAACATATTCGTATGCTTCTAATAATTATTTGCATGTAATTTAAAGTTCGAGGAGATAATAATTATATTATTTTTTATAATTCATAAATTAAAGAGAATTGTATAGCGAAAAATAAATTTTATTGTGACACGTCACTCATGAAATAATATGCATTAATCATTAACAAAAAAGGGTTATTGATACAAATTTAAAAATTGAGGAAAATTCATCATCAACCTTACTGTTGTGATATTTATAATAACGATACTTGAAAGAGATCTTTAAGCATTATATGGCTTAAAAAGAGCATCTGTTTTGGTAATGATGCTGCTATCCTTAATCTTGTTCAATTTGTTTTTATTAAATGTATTTTTGTCAAACTCAAAGCAGACACGAACATGTGCATATTTATTAAATTTCGTCAACAGCTTCATATGCTAGCATATATCAGATGATCAACACTCATTCAAAAAATTGATAGTTAAACTTTAAATGAATGAGAGAATAATTATAGTAATTACAAAAAATAAGTTAATCTAAATTGGTTCGAAATCAAATAGCAAATATCCCTTTCCCAAAACGACCACAAAAATCTCTCAAGAATCTGGAGTGGGCAAAATGCCACGTGTTAACTTTGACTTTCTTCTAAAGTGATTTTAACCCATTTTCTAGGAACCATTCAAATTTTCCTTTTGACAAAGTTCTTGAGGAAAGAAAATGTCTGTGCCAATACCTAAATGTAGGTGTTAATTATTTGAAAAAAATTATACATAGATAATAGATTGAGTTTGACCTTAGGTTAGGGTCATCGTCATGAAAATATATACAATTTCTCATCATGAGAGAGAGAAGGAGGGGGAAGTTACCACAAAAACCAAGAGCAAAAATGCGATAAAGAATAAGAGCATTCCCACTAGTGCTCAATTTGTTTTTCTATTATCACTTTTGATTGAAAAAAATTGTTTTTATTTATTATTTTAAGAGTTCAAGACAGCAGTAATTATTATATTTTTTTCAATTATACTTTTATGGAGCATGCGAGATGGCTATAGAGAAAATTAATAAATGAATTAAGAGCCCGTTAAAAAATTCAAAAGAAAATTTAATGACTTTGATCCCTTTTTTTTAATCCGTTCACTAAAATCTTTAATAAAAAATAAGAAAACAACTAACAAGATTTGAGTCTATAAAAAATGATTAGTTTCTCATAACACAGTAAATTAAGGTTTGAATAACCCTGCTAAAAGAGAATTGTTCACCTTTAATATCTGACTATGTATCAAACAGGATTGTATTTGATAGAAAGACACTTGTGATAATTAAAAAAAAACAGATAAGAAAAAAAAGTGACAAGGAGAGCTAAATTAGCTAACTGAAAAGATCAACAATTAATGTTGAAAGCAAGAAGTAGGACAACTAGGGTATCTACGACTTGAAATGAGACTAGTTATTTAACTAAAAGGCAATTAATATTTTGTGGCATTCAAAATCATTGAATATGGGTCCTATTTTAATTTCTCACATTTATGTTTCTTAGCACATTATTCTCAAGTTTGGTATTTTAATGTTCACGTTCTATTAATGTTTGCCATGATTTTTACGTAGTGGCAGAAAAAAGGAATGAAAAATTGAAAGATAATGTGATTGCAAGACAATACTACTTAACAATACAGAGATAATTACTAATTAATAACAATAATAAATATCTTTTTCTTTTGGAAATTGACATTTTTTCTCTACGAATAAGGATCACTCGATATACATCACATGAATATGACGAATGTAAATTAATATTTAAAAAAAAATGTTACATTAGTTGATTGATCTGACCAATAAATAATATGACAATTTCTTTTAAATTGAAGCCACACCATGTGGGAGATCGGTAGTTTTGGAAGATTAAAAGGAATAAGGAATCACTACATGTTTAAATTATCGACCACCAAACACGTGGATTTATTTTTTTTCAACTAAATTCAACACTATGACTAGAATAAGAATAAAACTACTTTTTCTTCTGGTCCAGACAGCCTGATGGAGAAAATCAGTGTTAATGCTGATGGAAATTTATTTACATAATAATAAAATATATGGTGAATAATATCATATTTTGTAACTCCCTGTGATACATATAGGAGCCAACCTGATTTTGTCAATATCGGTTACAAAAATATTAATGGTATTAAGAATCACACTCTCATTATTTAAGCATCGAAGACTTTTAAGAGAATTTTAATTTGGACATAATATGAATATGAGAAAATAAACCCTCCGTCGCTGATCAGATCAGATTGCATTATTAATTTATTGAAAGTACATTTTTTATTTGTTTAGTTTTAAAAATGGAAGCTAAAAAGAGGCATGTAAAGTGGTGGAGGTGAATCTTTACCAACCCCAAGTTGAGAATGTAATACCCATCCATGAATATTGACGCGCCTCGATGACCCATAAATTCAAAATTACATAGTTTAAAAAAGTGTTCTTTAATTTTCACACATAAATTCGAGCACGTATATATTGTTAATTGATTGTGACTTGTAAATCCTAAGTGTCAAACCATTAATCTTAAAATCTGAAATTTCAAACTGTAAAATCCAATATTAAAAATCATAGAGTTGAAATATAAGGTAGGAGTGTCCAAAACTAATCCAAACCAATTATAACGAACCAAAGTGACAAAAACCTATCAAAATTAATTATAAGATGAGATTTGGTTTTTTTTTTTTTTTTTTTTGCAAAAATGATTGGTTTGATTTGGTTCAAACTCTTACTTATGGAAACTTGAACCAAACTAAACTAGACCTTATTATATTTACTATATATATTTTAATAAATTTTCCTAATTTTTGTATTAGGAAAAATATATTACAATTAGCTAAATGTTATCTATAATTATTTATGAAATTTTCAAATTTTATTGTCAAGTGTTTTAAAGATAACATTAATTTTAAATTGTTAAGTATGCTAATTAATTGTTAAAGACAATCAACAAATATGGATATATATTGATGATTATAAATAATATTTTATAAAAAATCTTAAAACTAATCCAAATCTAAATTGAATTGAACCAAATTGCTCAAAAGCTGAACCAAGCTGATTAGAAAATAAAAATAAATTGATCCCAAATTTTAGTGAATCAGTTGGTTTTGTTTAGTTTTGTTGGTTTGGTCCGGTTTAGTTTTTCTTCAAAACCAAACTTGTCAACATCCTTAAGATTATAGGGAATAAAAAATACTCCTTCCATTCAAAAATATAAGATATTTTTAATTGAATCTCACCTCCTAATAAAGTGATTACCTACTTTCAAATTAACCTTATCTTTTCATATTTACCCCTATTAAACACCTTATAATAAATATAAAATCACTATCAATAGGGATATTTTTGAAAAAAAAACAATGATTACATCTCAAAAAATTAAAAATGCCTTACATTTTTTAACATTTAACTTCTCAAAAAATACCTAACATTTTTTAGCAGAGAGAGTAATTAACAACAAATAACATGCCTGTTAAATGAGCAACTAATTCCATAAAAAAGGATGGCATTGAAGCGCTTGCATGGCATATATGTAATTATTGTGGAGGTAACAAGATTTGGATTCAGTGAATATCTTAAATTCTCTCAACTGACATGTTTCAAATTCTTTCACCCAATAAGTGTTCCACGCAGGAGATGTTAGTATAAAGAAAACACTGAATTGCTGGTCTACTTTTAATTTTCGTACAATATATTTTAACCTTACGATTTAATTATATGAATAATATATATGACTGTAGAGAAATTATTGAACTGCATTCTCATAAAACAGTTTTTTAACTTGTTGTTTTATTTATTTCTAATCAAATATGAATTTTCAAATGTTAATGAAATCTTACAGAAGTGTAAACACTCACTTGGTAAGAAGATTTAAGAGACTCATGATAAAGAATCCAAATCCAAGCAAGGGTGTGAAATGTTGATAGCGAGAGATTGATGGAGATTGTTGTTAGAATATATTCATAAAAAGTATAAGAATGTGAGATGAATACATGAAAATAAAAATTTAAAAAAAAAGGAAAGAAGCTGGGAATGTTGAAAATGAGATGGTGGATTGAGAGAGAGAATCAAGTGATGATGAGGAAGAAGGTTCAGTAAGTACCGAGAGAGAGGGGGGGGGGGGACAAGAAGTGCATGCTAGTTAGGTTCTTTTCACTGAGGGTACGCCCAACTCGCAAGATTCCTATCTCTGGGCCCCACCCTCCACGTGGGCTGTTGCCATTTTCCTCTTCCCTGTCCTCTCTTTTCGTTGTTTTAAAAATACCGACTGAAATTATTATTTCTTACTACTTTCTTAACTATATTTTCCGTCACACATCATTGTTTTTTTAAAGAAATAAATCTTCACATTAATAATTGTAATAATGTTTTTTTCCAGCCTTTTCTGCCAGTTACAAAATGCATCCCTTTTGTGTACAGGGACTTGAGTAAGCCTGGCCTACCACATGATCATTGGGGTCGTTTCGTTTGCACAACAAAATTTCAAAATCATAAATTTTATGCATTTTCCTTCACATATTAAATTAAAATTAAAGTACATTTCCATACACAATATCATCACCAAAAAAATATTTTTACAGTGAAAACAATTAAATTAAAAAAGTTTACAGGCCTTTGTGTCTACCAATTTTTAAGGTGTTTTCCCCCTTTTTTTAAGCAACTTTAATTTTATTAAATAATATGACAATTTCTAAAAGTAATTGAAAATGAATAAGTTTCACAAAATTATGTTGATGAGATCAAACCTGTCGTAAATATACATTCCCTTGTTAAGCGATGTTAAATTGGCTCATATTGTTGGTTCTTTTCATCCGCATATTTAAATGTCATTCAAAAAATAAAATGTATTCAAATAAACATTGATAATCTAAATAGTTAGAAAAATTTTTTTTTAGAAAAGATCACTAAGCATAAGAAAAGTTTCAGGGAAAAAATAGAAAAAGGACCCCAAATAACCGTTTACCCCATTTACACCAACATGACCATGTAAGGTTGAAAAAAAAATACAAAATAAAAAACTATTCTCCTTCCCTTTTATTCGTTATTGTGAAAACTGAAAATCTTAAAATTTTCGCTCTTCCCTCAAATTATTTATTTCGCCCCAAAAATAAATAAATAAATTTGTAAAAACAAAACATGTCGATCATCATTGACTATGAGCTTCGACCACCAAAGTACCAATAACTCTTCCCCACCTCCATGCTCATGTGTCATTCTCCCGTACTTACGTGCATCCGACTTCAGCTGCAAACCCACCACCACCGCCCCGTCCGCCATATCCGCCGCCGCAAATCCTCTCACGTCGGACAACCCTCTGACCCACCTCACCCCCTGATTGGTTCACCTATTTTTTTAGCCCTTTCTTCTTTTCTCTCTCTCTCTCTCCCCCCCTCACTCAGAAGCACCCACTGAAGTAGCTGGCTTGCTTGCCACTATCTCGAAGGTACCACTTCCTCCATCATCGTCCTCGTCTTCTTGCTCTTCCCTATCCTTGTCATCCTCCTCTTCGTCTACTTCCATTGCATCATTTCCCGCGCTTCCTATCATCACCTGGGGCCCCGACGACCGCGCATCTTGCTGCTGAGGCTGCGGCGGCCACTGCTGCTCTGGGCGCACCATGAGCGGCGTAGACATCATGTTCTCCGGCGGCGGCATTGCTGTCTGCATCTTGAAATTCTTCTCCCTGTATAAAGCATCCAGCTGGTGGAAGTACGGGCACGTCTTGGAATCTTCTGGTCTTTTCTTGTTGCTCTCCTTCACCTTCTTGAAGTACTTGTTGATGTTCTCCCACTTCTCTTTGCACCTCTTCGAGCTACGGTTGTATCCCAGTCTCCTCATTGCAGCGGAGATTTCCTCCCACAACGGCCCCTTCGGCCCATTCTCCTGGTACTTCGCGTCCAGGTTTGTCCGTAGTTTTATCAGAGTATCCACTTCCGTCTTCGGCCACCTCGATGATGAGGCCGAGGATGGCATCGTCAAATTACTGTTCTCCCCATTGTCATTTTTCTTTACAATTTCCATGCTTATTATTCCCTGTTGGGTGGATGGCGGAGGCGGTGGAGTAGAAAGAAGTGGGGTTGATTGTTGCACCGTCACAGGTTGCAGTGGCTGCTGCGGCGGAGCAACGACAGGTGCTGGTTGTGGTGTGGGAGCTGCTGTGGGTTGCAACGGAGGATTGGGGATGTCAATGTTATTTGTTGGCGGTGCCGGTTGGCCGAGATTCTGCTGTTCAGCGATCTTCTGCAAGAAGGCCATTACAGCAGCGTCTTTCGCCGCCGCGATGGATCTTTCCTGGGCCAATATTTCTCTCTCCTTGTTGATCCTGGCCATCTCCTGCATTCTCCAGGATTCTTCTCGAGCCATGCGTTCGTGCTCGCGTTTCTCTATGGCTTCCAGAAACTTCTTCTGCAGCTCCTCCTGCTTCTCTATCACCTCCTTCATCAACCTCTCAAAGAAGTCCTTCCACTTCCGCTTCCGCTTCCGCCGAGCCTCTATTGTCTCGTCTGACGACGTCGAAGACGAACTAGAATTGGACAAGAGATCCGTGGGGATACTCGTGAACGGGGGTATAAAAGTAGGGTTTGCTGTTATCGTCGTTGCTGATGCCGGTGCTGGTGGCGGGTAAAATGGAGGGATTGAAGTGTTCATTGATGGAACAGTACTGGCATTAGCATGAGGAGGAGGAGGAGCATGAGGCGTGACTTGCGGGGCCACCATTATTGAAGGAGGAGGTTGGGTGGCGGCGGCTATGACGGAGACCGGTGGTGCAGGTAGAGGAGCGGAATTAGAAGAAGAGGATTGAATCAATAAAGAATTGTTATTATGATGAGGGTGGCTATGGTGCTGATCGAGAGCTTCCAACTGATCGAAGAAACGGTAGGTTTTGCCGTACGGTTTTCCGGTCCGGCCTTCCTTGGTTCGCTTGTGGTACTTGTAAACGTTCTCGAACTTCTCCTTGCACTTCTTGGCGCTTCTGTGGTATCCAAGCTCCGCTAGCTTCCTGATATAAACAAAATTCCCAAACAGAAAACAAAATAAAAAATGAAAAATGAAATAAAAGACAAACGGAAAAAGTTTTCTGGGTTTATCTTATCTCGTGAAATTCAGGTGTGAAAGCAAAGCAAGAATAACAAACATCGGGAAGCATAAGCTGAAAAATAAAAATAATTGAAAGAGGGTGGTGGGGGAGAGAATTAATTCAAGTACCAAAGAATATCGTGAAATGAAAGGGAAGATAGGAAAGAGAAGAATATATACATAAATCTAACATAACTACCCATGAATTGATGCAGGAGAAATGTTTCCCACGGAAAACATATGAACCCATTAGTTGATTGCGAGATTGGATAACCTGTATTCCTTAATTTTCCGTAACACTGTGGAAATCCTTCTTTGGACGGAACTCAATTCCAGTCGGTAAATTACTTACTTGGAAAATTCAACATGAATCGCAGTGAATGCCAGGAGAGAAAATTAAATCAAGCACAAATCATGAATGATGTGTTCTTCTTTCCCGAAATCTCGAAACAGAAAGTGGGTGTAAGAAAAGGGGAGGATTGAAAGAGGGAAAAATGCAAAAGCTAATCGAAAAGACTTGAAACTGATAGAGAGAGAAAAGGGAAATTGAAGCAGAAAGAAAACACTGCGAAAAAAAAAAGAAAAAAAAGAACCAGCTGGAGTTCTTTCTTTCTGATCAGATCTCAAGCCAATGAAGTGAATTCCTTTAGCTGGGATTCGCCTTCAATTACCAGAAAACACCGCCGTATGAATTTTGAAACGTCCCTGAACAGAAGAGGAATTTTTGCTCTGGGGAAAATAAATCAAGGTACCTGGAAACTTCATCCCACAAGGGACCCTTAACGCTGGCATCTCGAAACGCCACGTCCATGTCGGAGCGTATCTTCAAGAGCGCCAGAGTCTCCTGGCGGGGCCAACGGTTACCGCCGAAGCTTCTGTCACCACCACCACCACCACCACCCCCCTCTTCGCCTGAATTCGATCCACCGCCACCCGCCGCCGCAATTGCTGACTCGCCACAGTCATGGGCTTCTGCAACTCCTCCAGCAGATGCAGCAGCAACGGCCGCATCTTCTCCAGAGCTAGCTCCCCCACCTCCTAAAGCAGTTGAGTCCCCCAGCATAGGACTCTTATTCTCTTAATTCTTCCTCTCCGTTTCACAAAACAGCAGCCGAAGCAGCAAATTACAGTATATCTGTGCCCAGTAGAGTCCCGTGGAGGAAAAATTAAAATTATAAATCAGCCAAAAAAACAGAGAAAGCGAGGAACCAAGGAAAGAAAGAAAGGGTAGTGGTGAATTTTTTGGATGGTTTTTATTATGATGAGCCCGCAATTTTATTTATTTATTTTGGTGGGATCTGCTTGTCAATCTCAAGAACACTTTTTTTTCACTATTTTATTTAGACATTGTAATAAATTTTTCTTATTATATTTTTTCCCGTTCCGTGGAATCTTCAGTCTTTCAGTTTAATTTAATTAACCTGGGTTTTCTCACTGTAACAATAAAAAGTGGCACAGAAAGATATATATACAGATATTTATTGATTTATTAATTCTTTTCGTGTACCATTAATTCATAGAATTAAAAGCTTTTTATTATTAAATAGCCGCAGAGACTTTTTAACACCTGCACAAACAGACGATCCTGATAATAAGTTGGTTTTTGTCTGTCCAGCTATTTTTAGTTAAAAGCCGGCCCATGTAGGTCAGCCTAACATTTTTTTCCCCCTCAATTATTTTACTTTCAAATATTTTGTTTCTATTTTCTTAAAATTAAAAATTCAATATAAATAATATTCCAACCGCAATTAGATCTTTAAAAATACATAAAAAAATATAAATTTATTAATTCAAGGTCGAATTTATTAAAATGCGATAATAATTTTAATCATGAAAAAAGTTATGATTTTTTTTTTTAAATCTGAATTTAAAATTCATAAAATTAAAACGTAATTTTTGAAAAAGGTTGCCTTAGGGGTTTGGATTTCAGCGGCGGTTGGGGGTAATGAAATGACGGGACTGACCCTAACATGGTTCCAGCATTGCCCTTTAATGATTGAAGCAAAATCATGGCATATTTTATTTACATCCACGGGCTCCTGATCTGGGTTTGTCTCTCTGGTGTCACATTTTATCTGATGCGAAATTACTAATATGCTCCCAGCTTAATAAAGTTTTACTGATTGAACGAATAAAATAAAAAAAATAAAAAAAAAGAACTGGCTTTCATTTTTCAACTTGATGGGCACAACTGTAGTACTCTACATACATGTGCAGGTGTGGCCTCCCTGGGTCCTACCCTGACCGTGACACTTTCAACTTTCACAAGCATCTTTTAGTTATTATATAATTATCTACTTTAAATCAAATATAAATGTATGATAATTTACTGAACTGATTAATTAAAATAGGAGCGTGTAAAAATTACACTCTTTATCTCAAATTATAAGATATTTTTAAAAAAAATTTTCATTTTAAAATATAAAATAATTTAACTGGATCAAAGTTTTATTACGTGTGTTAATTCTAACATTATCTTTTATATCTTTATAATTAATTTACATCCCTTCTCTTTTTAATATATTAAATGATGAATATTTTTAAAAATTTATATTCTTTAAAAAGATAAGGTTATTAAGTATATTTAATAAAATTTATTGGTATATAAAATTTTACTTAAAAGTATCTTATAATTTAAAATGGAGGGAGTATAATGTAATTCATACGTCATAACTACGTGAATCAATGAATCAAGTGGGTTGAATTATCTTTTACATGTTTTCAAATTAATTTACAATTTCATGTCGACTTCCAAATTCGACCGCACAACGCTGGTTTGGACAATTTTAGATAAAGTCATACTGATGGTGAGAGAGATATTTATAAGTAGGTTTACTTCACAAGTTCATATTACGAAATCAACTATTAATCAATACGAAAGCATTAAATTCTATTACTTTAACGTTTTGACATTTGCGTTAAGTTTTTTATTCCATAATTACATTTTGTGCAATTTGCAAAATACTATTAATTGAATTAATTGAAGTATTGAAAGTGATTTTTCCTTCTTCTTCTTGTTTTTTTTTTTTTAGTGGGAACCACTGTGGAAAAACTACTTAGATGTGGGTCGTGTTATTAGGGCAAGCCATTTATGAAACAGAAGTAAATGGTGGCCGATTCTGTTCAATTTGTGACCTACCCTAATAAATGGCATCAAAATTTTGATGGCTGTAATTGTGCCAAGATCACAACTTATCGATTTCAAAAAAATCACTTTATTTTTTTAATATAAAAAGAAAATTAATAAAAATAACATTTGGGACCATATAGTTCTGGCTAGCCATATTGGCGGTGGTCTGATTTTTATTGGACAAAATAAAAGTTTTCCGTGTTTATATTATTTTATCGAAGGCACTGGCTCCTCCCCATACTACATATACCAATTATTAGCTAGGTGTTATTTTTTAAAAAAAATAAAAATCTGTTATAATTTTATTCTATGGTAACGTTGCGTTTCTATTTCAAATTTTAAATTCCAAACCATCCCTCGCTCATCCGTGCACGTCCCACTTGAAAATGACTTGCCTTGCAGGTAATTCTATCATTCTCTTGTTCCGTTTAATATTTTACTTGAGGAAGATAAAGATTAGTTTTGTATTTGTTAGTTGTCTAAATGTGAGTGGATTTAACTAGATATGAGAAGTCTCATTTCGAATAAAATTAGACTTAATAACTAATATTGAATAAAAAAAAGATCCATAAATTTAAGTCTTGAGGTTTCGAGTTAAGATGTGGCACCCTTTCACTACTCTTGCCCATTTCTCTTCTCTTATTCCTAACAAGTGATATTAGAGTTAGGTTTCACTCAAAATCTATAAGTCTGCGATTGCGCACAAGTCCAAAGCTCAAAATAGGACTAGTCCTGTAAGAAGTCTCACATTAAATAAAATTGAGTTTAATAATTAATATAAAATAAAAAAAAGATTCATGAACTTGAATCTTAAGGTTTTGATTTTAGATGTGCATTTTTCCGTTATTTTTACCCATCTTTCTTCTCTCCCTTAGCCTAATAACCCAAAAAAAAAATAAAAGGAGTAAATCAAGTCCGTTTTCATCTCATTTCCTGATTGCCATTCAATTTGTTGAGTGTGTGAGGTTGTTTGTCATTCAGGATTCAAACCAAGGGGTCTTGTTTGGGAAACATTACGTAATTACACCGGACAAGGTGTGAAAAAGAAAAACCAGTAATTAAAAGAAAAATAACAAAATAAAATGTTGCGTAGAAGTATTGATCACGAGTATGTTGGGTTGTGCTTTTTGATAAATCATGCTTTATGAAATTCTCTTTTTGTGTTGTGGACTTTTTGTGCCCGTAAATGTATGTATCAGAAATTAATCACTCAAAACCTCCCAAAATATCACTAGCTAGCGCCAATCGAGAGATGCATGTAATTTTCCGTCTTTTTGTCAGCATTTAGTGAATAGGGACATGAGTCTTTGTTCTGCCAATTAGTTTGCTGTAATTTCCTCTTTCTTCAAGCTTGCCACTTGTAATAATAGTAATAATAGGAGTAGTAATAATAATAATAAGAGATGCATGTAATTTTAAATATTTTTTAAAGTGTTTTTAAAGTGCAGTAGGCATGCTGTCTTGATTTTAATGAGCTTCTAAAATCTAACTAACTTATAAAAATTAAGAAAAGTAAAAATGTCATCAATAGACATTGATCCTAATGAAAGGGATTATACCCGTTTGAGCATAAGGCTTTGAGTTTGAGATTGTATAAATGTAAAAAGAAAAAAGAAATTGCTCTGAGAAAGCTACCTCAGCATAGCCCTACAATACTCAAATCTAGCCAATTAAGTCACATAGCTAATAAACAAGAAAAACATGCCTAATTGATGATACAAAATCAGTAGAAAGTAAAAAATTAATTTATTGAAGTTAAATCTCGCGTAATTTTTTTATTTTTATTTTTTTGGCCAGATTGTACAATATTTGGGCATAAAGAATGATGAGCCTATTGCAAAAAAAAAATGAACCGTGAAAAATAAATTTTACTAAAATTTATTAAAACTACATCATTAGCTAATTAATTGATTAATTACTAAACAATATAACAATGTGACCCTAACACAAAATTAGAACATAAGAAATGACATGCAAGTTTTTTAAAATTATGAAAAATCATATAATTTTTTATTTCCAATGGTTATTTTAATTTAATTTCAAAATTTTAATGAAGAAGATATATAATTTTTTCATGTCGGAACAAATTATTAAAGAGTATACGAATTATAAAATTACTATAATTTATTTTACTTCTTCAGAACAGAAAAAATTGCGATGGATCAATATATTATGAAAATTATTCAAAGTCAATGATTGAGACAGGGGAAAATGGGGAATGCAAGGACATGAAGGATGCAATATCGCAGGACCCACTCAATTAATATGCCATTTAATGCACAAATCATCGAGGATTAGCTTTTACTCGTACGCCTATACCATAATTGGGTGTACAAATTTAAGATTAGTAGAAAGTACAAAGGGAATCATATCGCAAGGGTATTTTGGTCAAAACAAAAGGGTTCAAAAGACATGGTCCCAAGGGTACCATTGTAATTTGCCAAGAGGTGGACGTGTAAGTTAAGTTGACATCAATGGGAATGGGCATTCCCCTCCTTTTCTTCTATTTTGGACAGTGGTGAATGAATGATAATAATTGGTTTTACTGAAAATATATATATATATATATATATATTTTTAATGAAAGGCGAAATTCTATTGATAATTGACGAAAAACTGTACAGAGGAACCGAACAGGACTAGCAAAATTACATCAAGGAATTTTAAAATATATTTTTAATTGAATTACATGCATTTTAGTATCTTGTGGAAGTCTAATGCATATATTATAAGGAGAACATCAATGAAAAACTCTCTTAAATAATTTAATAATTTTTAAAGAGTAAATATTAAAAAATTAATAAATGAAATTATTATTTTAATAATAAATATCATATCTATCAAGGTCTTTGTCAGATATTAAATTATTTTTAGAGTCCTTCATTGATATTCTCTATAAAGCAAATTATATTTATATTATTCATAATTTCTGGATAAATAATAATAGTTACGATAAATTATAGAGAAAATTAGCTCAATGATCTTAAAAAATACAACTTTCATAGATTATAGATGAAATTTTTAAATATTTTAGAATATGACCTATTCATAAAATCAATTAGCTGTATTTTTCTTTTTTATCCTCAGAATAAATTTATTATTAAAACAAATTATATTTGATT